ATTCACCTCCCCACAACAACAACCCCTTTAGATGAGTTGGGTTGAGAGAATGACTGGCCCAAGTCATTCATCTGGCTTTCATGACTAAAGCAAAGCTAGCGCTCATTGTCTCCTGCTTTTTAGCCGGATGCCTTAACCACTAGACCAGTGGTGGCGAACCTATGGCACACGTGCCAGAGGCGGCATTCAGAGCCCTCTCTGTGGCACGCATGCCATGCCCCGGAGATGGCAACCGTCCTCTTCAACCAGCTGCCCGCTAACTCGCCGAGGTCCCACGTGGCCGGATGCATCCCAGCACCCATGCGCTCACTGGCCTCTGTGTGCGGGGACCGATGCAGCAGCCGCCCCGGCCCCTGCCTCACCTTGTCTCGCCTCACCCCACAGGATGAGCCTCCTGCCCACCGCCCCACCCGCCAGAGACCCCCTGGATCTCCCCCAACCCTGCCCAGCCCCCACAGACATCCCTCCCCAGGAGAAACATCGAGTTGGCCCCGCCCACCCATCTGCCATGACCACTGTAGCCTTGCCCACCTGGCAGGCCATGCCCACCCGGCACCCGGCGATACATAAGGGGGTTTTGGGTTGAAATTTGGGCACTCGTTCTCTAAAAGGTTCGCCATCACTGCACTAGACCAAACTGGACTTTAAAAGCCCTGCATGGTATAGGATCAGATTATCTGAAGGATCACCTCTCCCCAGTGACATCTGCCCATCCCACCAAATCCATCAGAGAGGGCTCTATTGACCAATTACATTTATATCTGCTGTGCTACCTGCTTTATGGGAATATCCTTATCTCAAAGTAAGGCTGGCATTATCACTTTTGACCTTCAAAAGGTCCCTCAAAGTCTGGATGTGCCATCAGGCCTGGGTACCCCAGGGACCAGTGACTTCTTAATTATTATTAATCATTGTTCATTGTACAGTCAGCCAGATATTCAGACTGGATTGGGCATTTTTATCAACCTATTGAGTCCTTCGCAAGGACCCGGGACAGGCAGATCTGGATGTTTGATGGATTATAGA